CCAAATACAGGGATATCCTGTCGTACCAGCTACTGGGAGACTGAGGCAAGAGGATTACTTGAGCCCCAAGAGTTAAAAGGACAACCTGAACAACATAGCAAGCCCTGGTTAGTGAGACCCCATCTCATAATAGAAAAGTACCTCAGTAAAATGAGAAATTTCACAACCCTAGGAATAAAAACTTTTTAATTAAGTTCTGGGAGCGAGGGGTGGAGGGGAGAGCAACTATACAAAGTCTTGGGGAAAATCAGATCAAACTAATCCCTCATCAATATTGGAACTAGAAGACAATAGAGTGATACTTTCAAAATTCTAAAGGGGGCTGGGAATGTGGCTAAGTGGTAGAGTTCTTGGTTAGCATGCATGAAGCCCTGGGTTTAATTCCTCAATACCACATACACAGAAAAAGCCAGAAGTGGTCCTGTGGCTCAGTGGTAGAGTGCTAGCCTTGAGCAAAAGAAGCTCAGAGACAGTGTCCAGGACCTGAGTTCAAGCCCCAGGACAGGGGTGAGGAGGAAGGAAAATTATTTTTAACTCAATTATTTTAAGACATGCCAGTTCTCAAAAAAAAATTTTCTGTTTACCATACTCCCTTTCAAATAGAGCTACCAAAGGATTTGCTTTATCAAAACAAAGAAGTGAAGTAGCCAGGAATCTGGGAAGAGAGACTGAGTTCAAGCCCCAGTATTCGCCCCTGCACACACAGACATGTGTACACACACATACACACACACACACTAGAACAAATAGACTTAATAGATATCTACAAAGTATTTCATCCAGCAGCTGTACAATATGCATTCTCAGAAGCCCATGGAACTTTCTCAAAATAGATCATATTTTAAGACAAAACAACCTTTGTACAACTATTTAGAGATAAACTTTTTTAAAGAAAGTATTAAAAACAACAACAACTGGGGCTGGGAAGGTGGCTCAATGGTAGAGTGCTTGCCTTGCATGCCTGAGGCCCTGGGTTCGATTCCTCAGCACCACATAAGCAAAAAAAAAGCCAGAAGTGGCGCTCTGGCCCAAGTGGTAAAGCGCTAGCCTTGAGCTGAAGAGCTGAGGGACAGCACCTAGGCCCAGAGTTCAGGCCCCACGACCGACCGGACCCCCCCCAAAAAAAAAGATCAGGGCAGAAATTAATGAAACATCAGAAAATTACAAAATTGATTAAACAAAGGTGGCTTGTTTGAAAAGGTAAACCAGATTGATAAATCCCTGGCCAATCCAACTGAAAGGAAGAGGGAATTGGGCTAACAAGAAAAATGAAGAAGCCGGGCGCCAGTGGCTCACGCCTGTAATCCTAGCTACTCAGGAGGCTGAGATCTGAGGATCACAGTTCCAAAGCCAGCCCCGACAAGAAAGTCCGAGAAACTCTTATCTCCAATAGACCACTCAAAAACCGGAAGTGGCGCTGTAGCTGAAGTGGTAGAGCGCTAGCCTTGGGCTGAAGAGCTGAGGGACAGCGCCCAGGCCCAGAGTTGAGGCCCCACGACCAGAACCCCCCCCCAAAAAAAAAGAAAAGAAAATGATCATACTAACTACCAAAGCAATCTGTATAGTCAATGAAATACTAGTCAAGGTCCAATGTTGTTTTTCATAGAAATAGATCAATGCAGTAATTCATATGGAAGCACAAAAGCTCCTGAATAGCAAAAGTAATTTTAAGCAAAAAGCAATGCTGGAGGTGTCATAATACTGGAATTCAAATTATGTACAGAACCGTAGTACAAAAACGTGTGGTACTGGCACAAAAAACAGATGTAAAGACCAATGGAACAGAAGATTCATAAATAAAGCCATACAGCTAGAGCCATCTAATTTTTGATTAAAGAACCAAAAACATAGAATAAGATAGTCTCTTTAATAAATTGTGCTGAGGGGCTGGGAAAGTGGCTCAGAGGTAGTGTGCTTGCCTTGCATGCATGAGGGCCTGGGTTTGATTCCTCAGCACCACATAAACAGAAAAGGCTGGAAATGGCACTGTAGCTCAAGTGGTAGAGTGCTAGCCTTGAGCTGAAGAGCCCAGGGACAGCGCCCAGGCCCAGAGTTCAAGTCCCATGACTGACCGAAAAATAAAAAATAATTAAAAATAAATTGTGCTGAGAAAACTGAGAGTCTATATGTAGGAGACTGAAAAGACCCCCTATTTCTCACCCTATACACAAATTCAATTCCAAATGGATTGAACATAAAAATTTAAGGTCTGGCCCGGTTTTGGTGGCTCATGCCTGTAATCCTAGCTTCTCAGGTGGTTGAGATCTGAGGATCGCAGTTCAAAGCAAGCCCGGGCACGAAACAAACACTCAGAAAAACCATAAGTGGTGCTGTGGCTCAAGTGGTAGAGTACTAGCCTTGAGCTGAAGAACTGAGGGACAGTGCCCAGGCCAAGGGTTCAAGCCCTATGACCAACCAAAAAAAAAAGCCCAGGCAGGAATGTCCGAGACTCTTATCTCCTTTTATCTCCAATTAACCACTAGAAGTTGTAGAGTACTTGCCTTGAGCTGAAGGATGCAGGGAAAGTGCGCAGGCCCAGAAGTCAAGCCCCACAACCAACAACAACAACAAAAATTTAAGGTCTAAAACTACTATAGGAAAACTTAGGGGAAATTCTGTGTAAGATATAGGCACAAGTAATTATTTTCTGAATAGCATTCCAATTGCCATGCAAATAAGGGCAAGAATTGTCAGATGGAACTTCATCAAACAAAAGTTTCTGCACAGCAAAAGAAACTGTTACCTACAGAGATAACCCACAGAATGGGAGAAAATCTTTGCCAGCTATCCAGTGGACAAAGGAAGTATTAATGTCCAAAATATAGCAAAAATAGCCCAATCAATAGGCAAATTGGACAGTTCTCAGAAGAAGAAGCACAACTGGCTAATAGATACATGAAGAAATGTTCAACTTCCTTGAAAATTTTTAAACTACATTAAAATTCGATCTCACCCCAGTCAGAATGGGAATCGTCAAGAACACAAACAAAACATGCTGACAAGAATAGGAAAAGGTGGGGAGGGGCTCTCATAAACCTTTGGTGAGCACCACTACAGAAATCAGTATGGAGAAGCCGGGCGCTGGTGGCTCACACCTGTAATCCTAGCTACTCAGGAGGCTGAGATCTGAGGATCGCCGTTCAAAGCCAGCCCGGGCAGGAGAGACCGTGAGACTCCTATCTCCAATAAACCACCAGAAAACCGGAAGTGGTGCTGTAGCTCAAGTGGTAGAGCGCTCTCCTTGAGCTGAAGAGCTGAGAGATAATGCCTAAGCCCAGAGTTCAAGCCCCACGACCAACAAAAAAAAAAAAAAAAAAGAAATCAGTATGGAGTTTCTTCCAGCCTTGAAGAAATTGAAGAAGATATAAAAGATAGAAAGATCTAAAAATGGATCTACCATATGACCTTGTAATACCATTCTTGGACATGTATCTTTTTGTTTTTGTTTTTAGTCAGTTCTAGGGCTTAAACTGTGGGCCTGGTCACTGTCCCTGAGCTTTTTTCCTCAAGGCTAGCACTCTTCCACTTGAACCACAGCTCCACTTCCAGCTTTTTGCTGGTTAGAGATAGTTTCAGGGACATTCCTACTTAGGCTGGCTTTGAACTGCGATCATCAGATCTCAGCCTCCTGAGTAGCTAGGCTTAGTGAGCGGGAGCCACCGGCGCCAGGCTTATAAAACATTCTTTTTTTTTTTTTTTTTTTAGTTTTAAAATGTCCACTTTATTCCATATAACACTTCACCAGATTTTGGATTATAAAACATTCTTAAGGGCAACCTTCCTTGGCTTGCTAATGCTATTTCCTGTCCTATCATTTTGCATGAAGTAGGCACTCAGAGTTTATTGATTAAAAGCCAAGGGGTGAGATCTGTTAGGAACTGAGTCTTCTGGCTTGAGATACTGTCTCGATCATGACTACATATGCTCATTCTTCACACACTCCATTTTGTTTGAGACAATCTATGTATCCCAGACTAGCTTCACACTCCTGCTCCCCACGCCCACCCCGCGGCTCCTGCTCCTGAGCACTGCAATCACACGCGTGAGCTTTCACACGCAGCCCTAGGTCCACTTATTGTACCATTACTTGGCAGCTAGGGGACGAAATTATTAAAAAAAATATTTCAGAACTTAATGTCTTCCCTCCAAGAGCTCAGTTCTGTAACCTCAGTGACAGGAGTTGCGCTTCCCAACAGAACCCAAAGGGTCACGTCGATGCTGCCTTCCTCCAGTGGTCCATGATCAGATCTAGAGATCATCTCCTCGCCCAGGCCATCTCTAGGGACCAAGGCAGCCCCCTCCCCCACGTCTCTCCCCCACCCGCCCCGTCTCCATCCCACCCCTCCCTGGCTGCTCTCTTGGGTCCAGGGTCAGGGCCTTGAAGGGCCGGGAAACCAGGCCATCTGGGGAGATCTGCTCTTCCATCTCTGGGGCCCCGGAACGGCTGCGGCTTCTAAGAGCGCGCCGCCACCCCCGCGGGCCGGCCCAGCCGAGAGGCCCGGCCATCTGCCGGGAGGCCAGAGCGGCTCCGCGCCGGGGGCGGGG